CACTCATTACATACATTGTGATATACATGGTATATAGCTCACACTATAATACAACTCACTCACTCATTACATACATTGTGATATACATGGTATATAGCCAACTATAAACACTCACTCACTCATTACATACATTGTGATATACATGGTATATAGCCAACTATAAACACTCACTCACTCATTACATACATTGTGATATACATGATATATATAGCCAACTATAAAAACTCACTCACTACATACTACATACATTGTGATATACATGGTATATAGCCAACTATAAACACTCACTCACTCATTACATACATTGTGATATACATGGTATATATAAACACTCACTCACTCATTACATACAACATGGTATATGGCCAACTATAACACTCACTCACTCATTACATACATTGTGATATACATGGTATATATGGCCAACTATAAACTCACTCTCTCACTCACTCATTACATACATTGTGATATACATGGTATATGGCCAACTATAAACACTCACTCACTCATTACATACATTGTGATATACATGGTATATGGCCAACTATAAACACTCACTCACTCATTACATACATTGTGATATACATGGTATATAGCCAACTATAAACACTCACTCACTCATTACATACATTGTGATATACATGGTATAGCTTCAGCCAACTATAAACACTCACTCACTCATTACATACATTGTGATATACATGGGCCAACTATAAACACTCACTCACTCATTACATATACATGGTATATACACTATACTCACTCACTCATTACATACATTGTGATATACATGGTATATAGCCAACTATAAAAACTCACTCATTACATACATTGTGATATACATGGTATATAGCCAACTATATTACATACATTGTGATATACATGATATACATATAGCCAACTATAAACACTCACTCACTCATTACATACATTGTGATATACATGGTATATAGCCAACTATAAACACTCACTCACTCATTACATACATTGTGATATACATGGTATATAGCCAACTATAAACACTCACTCACTCATTACATACATTGTGATATACATGGTATATGTCATATTGCCAACTATAAACACTCACTCATTACATACATTGTGATATACATGGTATATAGCCAACTATAACTCACTCACTCATTACATACATTGTGATATACATGGTATATAGCCAACTATAAACACTCACTCACTCATTACATACATTGTGATATACATGGTATATAGCCAACTATAAAACACTCACTCATTACATACATTTGTGATATACATACATATAGCCAACTATATACATGAACTCATTACATGCATTGTGATATACATGGTATATCAACTATAAACACTCACTCATTACATTCATTGTGATATACATGAAATATTGCCAACTATAAACATACACTCACTAATTACAGTACATTGTGATATACATGAAATATTGCCAACTATAAACACTCACTCACTCATTACATACATTGTGATATACATGGTATATATTGCCAACTATAAACAAACACTCACTCATTACATACATTGTGATATACATGAAATATTGCCAACTATAAACACTCACTCACTCACTCATTACATTCATTGTGATATACATGAAATATTGCCAACTATAAACATACACTCACTAATTACAGTACATTTTGATATACATGAAATATTGCCAACTATAAACACTCACTCACTCATTACATACATTGTGATATACATGGTATATGGCCAACTATAAACACTCACTCATTACATACATTGTGATATACGTGGTATATGCTCAACTCACTCACTCACTCATTACATTCACTGTGATATACATGAAATATTGCCAACTATAAACATACACTCACTAATTACAGTACATTGTGATATACATGGAACATTGCGAACTATAAACATTCACTCACTCACTCACCTACTATCACATGGCTTGGATATGACACTTTCACAAACCTACGTATGATATGATCTTTTAACACAGATAAGACATCAGGAGACATTCGCACATGATTGTGTTTTTGTTTTGATGCTTAATGCCACACTCAGTCACTATTCCTGTTTTGGGACAGAAAACAATCAGGCCTTATCAGACAATCTAGTGATGTTATTATGAGCTTTTGACCTCTGTCAGATCATAATCTGGGCAAATGTAGGATAGAAAACATGATCACAACATCCTAACCAGATTAAGGGACATAACTCTGTAAAGCAATCTGTAGTGTCAGGCCACTGGGTTATTCAAGCATGGTAGCATGTTCACTGTTTCTTTCAGAAAAATCAACTGCATGGTTTGAAGCAGTGATGAAATATGATGCTGTCTCAATCAGAATCTCTTAAAATTCACCTCAATCAAATTGTTTTCATTTAATAAATGGAATTTCTGACAGCTTGCAAAAAGTTTGAGCTCCACTAATACCAAATATTCACATGTTTCACCACTTCTGATATAGAAGACCCGTGAAGGTCCGGGTTAGAATATTGATCTCTTCAGTAACCCATGCTTGTCGTAAGAGGCGACTAACGGGATCGGGTGGTCAGGCTTGCTGACTTGGTTGACACATGTCATCGGTTCCCAATTGCGCAGATCGATGCTCATGCTGTTGATCACTTGATTGTCTTGTCCAGACTCGGTTATTTACAGACCGCCGCCATATAGCTGGAATATTGCTGAGTGTGGCATAAAACTAAACTCACTCACTCACTCTGATATAGATAATACACTCATCCTTTCGATGTGAGCATATCATAGGAGGACAGCTCAATATTCTTGTTTGAGTTGTCTCCCTTGGTTAAGGTTTTCAAGACTCTTTTAAGGGAATACATGATATCTTTGTATGAAGAATCAATATAACTCATTGTTATATGTTTGAAATAACATTCTGAGATCAAACAGTATAACTGCTCCATTAATCCACATGTCACCATAGTCACACCAAGAGATAATGCTTTCCAACAACTTGTCTTGATTCACACATACATCCCGAACAATGACAAAATTGATTTCGTTAAGATACACCAGATTTATTTTAAACACAAGAGTATGAATATCAGATGATACAGGTGAAAAGGGCACATATGACATGAATTCTACATCAGAATGTACGACAGCTTGTAATGTCACTGTGACCCTACACCCATCAGGCAATAATCACTGATAGGCACATGAGTGAACTAAGCTTATCTGTTCTTATACCACATTCAGCAGTAATGTGCTCTTATACCACATTCAACAGTAATACATTCTTATACCACATTCAAAAGTAATGCAATCTTATACCACATTCAACAGTAATGCATTCTTATACCCCATTTAACAGTAATGCGTTCTTATACCACATTCAACAGCAATGCATTCTTATACCACATTCAACAGTAATGCGTTCTTATACCACATTCAACAGTAATGCGTTAGTATACCACATTTAACAGTAATGCATTCTTAAACCACATCCAACAGTAATGCATTCTGATACCACATTTAACAGTAATATGTTTGTATACCACATTCAACAGCAATGCGTTTTATACCACATTTAACAGTCATGCACTCTTATACCACATTCAACAGTAATGCATTCTTATACCACATTTAACAGTAATGCGTTCTTATACCACATTCAACAGTAATGTGTTCTTACACCTTATTCAACAGCATTCAATCTGCACCAAAGAAGACCACATATACTTAAGATCAGGTCAGGCAAACAAGTACCTGATCCAAGCCCTGAATCACAGAGCCTGAATGTGGAATCACACCTAAGATTTACTGGCACTTCATGAACAGGTCAGGGTGAAACTGAGGTATCAGTTTTGTCCAGTAGGAGCTGTTTTGGTTGGTCATGTAACCAAAATTGAAGCAAACTCTATTTTCACAATATTCGTTTGAATGGTAACCTTGTTAGAAATGATCTTGTTAAAACATATGTTTTACTCTAATAAGATACTTTCATGTAGATCTAACAATCCCTTCATAGAAAGTCATATGAGCACATGAATGAGTATGGTTTTGAGCTGCTTTTAGCAATATCCCAGTAATATCATGGCAGGGGACACAAGAAATACGCTTTACACATTGTACCCATGTGGGGAATCGAACCTGGATCTTCGGCGTGACGAGTGAACACTTAAACCGCTAGGCTACACCACCACTCATGTGAGCACATAAAGCCTGATACCTGAACACCAAAACAAACAGAGGCAGTTTGGGTTCCTCAGCAAATAAGATGTTAACGCTGTAAAACAATTCAGCTTCATTTCTTTACCAACTTGATTCAGAATTTGTGGTTCAACTGCTACAAAACAAAACCCTACACAGAATACAAATAGTCATTCAATGGAACCACCCTTTGGGTAAAGATTGCATGAGGTGAGGTGAGGTGAAATTGGGTTTTATGTCGTGCTTGACAATATTTCGCTCATATGACGACGTGCATGTGTGTGTATGTGTATGTATGTGTATGTGCGGCTGCTTGTACTAGCCCAGACTTAAGCTGGTTTTATAGTGCTAGCCTACTGAGATACCATGCCGCAGTAAAGCATGAATGCCCCACTCAGACACATTATACTGACTCCGAGCCGACCAGTCCTTGTTGTACCCATTAATGCCGAGCACCAGGCAGGGGCCAACAAGTACCATATTTTAACGTCTTTTGGTATGATGCGGTCGGGGATCGAACCTGCAACCTTCCGTTCTCCGGGCGGACGCTCTAACCACTACACCACGGAGGCGGTCAAAGATTGCATGATGTTACATGGTATATACAATAGCAATTTTTGTAAAAGCCTTTATAATTTACATTCAGAACTGATCTCATAAGTTTGTTTCCAGTCATTCTGGAATCATTATATGATGCTCAGAATTTTAATTCATTTGTACAAAGAATACAAAAGCCTGGATGTTGATTGGTTAGACAGTTCATTCTATAGATCTTGGAAGGCATTGCATTAATGTAAAAGATCTGACTTCCGTAATATTGTTGTCGGAAAACACTAACCTTGGTATCCTTTGCATAGAAGAGTCTCCTGCCCTGCAGTTTGAAATACCGTCGCTTCCAGCGCTGCATGGAGAAATTAAAACAGTAATCTAAAGTCAAACATGTTTTCTGAGAGTAGTTGGTTGATTTGTTGTTTTACGCCGCACTCAGCAATATTCCAGCTATATGGCAGCGGTCTGTAAATAATCAAGTCTGGAACCCACAATCCAGTGATCAACAGCATGAGCATCGATCTACACAATTGGGATACGATGACATGTGTCAGCCAAGACAGCGAGCCTGACCACCCGATCCCGTTAGTCACCTCTTACGACAAGCATGGGTTGCTGAAAGACCAATTCTAACCTGGATCGTCACGGGTTGAGAGTAAACAAATTCAAAACCAGACAATAAAAATAGTTCCTGAAATTCCTTCCCCAAATATATTCAAAAATATCCCACTAAAAAAATTCCATGATATATACTTTCTCCCCGTGAGTACTATTAGACTCTCTCAAAATTATATATTTTAATCTTTCTTGATAATTCCATTGTTTTATGTTGGTCGTTTTGCACCCTTTACAATTTATAGTTTTCTCGTACCTACACCTCGTCACTTTTATAACGTAAGAGAATGTTTTTTTCTAAAAATTGACCGGAAGGCGAGGTTTCCGGATATCTGGGGTCCGGGTATCCGAGGTCTCACTGTATATGTACCCCAGTGAAAACTTTTAGGTCCTAAATTACATCTTTTTAATCTTTCTTAACAATTCCATTGTTTTATGTTGGTCGTTTTGACACTATCAAGTACCCCTTTACATCAATTTATAGTTCTCTCGTACCTCTATTTATACATCTGCGCATAAAATAAGCACCACCCTGTATATTTAAAAATTAATTGCCAAAACGAAAACATCATTGAAATGACCATGTATTTTAATTAGGATAATTGCCTACATTTAAAACAGGTGTTTTTCTGTCCTAAAACAAGTTACCTTATTTTGAAAAGTGAAAGTAATAATTGATTGTTGTGTGGCCTATAAATTCGTTATTTATTGTGAATGGATGAAAGTTTGTAAACTAAGATTTAGGAAAAGTTACAAACTAAAAAAAAAGGAAAATTTTAATATGCAGTAAAAGTTGCTTTACAAACAAAACAAACAGATTTTAGCTGTAATTATCAGTATCCGGCAAGGAGAAGTGTTTATTCATTACAATAAACTCAAAATCATAAAAAAATTATTCCACAATCTTATTAATGTGGCCTTTGTCAATTAGCAATCTGAATTGTTGGAAAAAGGTCTGAATCTTTTACATTCAGGTTCTTCCTGATTATGCATAATTAAAGCTTACTTGATGTGTAAATGTCATCTTGGTTATAACAGAATTGTTATTTTTAGTCAAAACTTAATTTAATTGTGTAGTTTGAGCAGGAGAGGAATAGTTATTTTGGGTAAATATTCAGTCCCATCACATTTTCATCAACATATTCTTTCATAAAGAATAGAAAAGGTTATGGTATTTGTAAAACTGTCAGTGGATAAAGCTTCTTTAACTACAGGTTGATTAAATTGATGGCTATACCCTAACTTTTCTGTAGCATCACATCTTGTTTTCAAAATAGGGTGGAGCTTAATTAATGCACAGGTGTATATATATACTGAACATCATTGAAAACGCACCACCTGTAAATTTTGAAATATGGTAATATGATTGTTTTGAGAATGAAAATGAAGTTAATAACACAAAAGACAATAAATAATGCTGTACAGTAAAGAACGGATTGCCCGAACACATCATGGAACACATCACATGACAACAACAAAATTCATGCACAACACACACGAAAAGCACAAATTGCATGCGTAAAACATGTTGATTAGGGGTATAAATGACCGTCAGCACAAAAAACGTTCTCATTTTAGCTGTACCTCCGCAAGTAAAGTATATTTTGCAATGCCAAGATTGTCACCAGAGGAACGAGAATGGGCATTGGGCATGTTGCAGGTTGGCACATCAAGCAGGATTATTGCCACATGATTTGGTTGCCATCATTCCACCATCATAAGACTTGCCAACAGGTACCAACAAACAGGAACCACCAGGGACCACCAACGTCCTGCATACCACCCCTCGCCAAGATCGAGACATTGTTCGGCACCATATTTGGGATCGTATGTTGCCAGCTGCCAGAACCGCCAACGGTGTCCAAGGCCGACGTGGTTTGATCAGTGCTTCCATCGTTCGACGCCGTCTCCGTGCAGCAGGATTACGGTGTCAACTCCCTTATGTTGGACCCATCCTGACTGATAGACATCGCTGTGAACGCCGACGATGGGCTCGACAGCATCGTTTGTGGTTGTTACGATGTTGGCATGGTGTTCTGTTCTCCGACGAGTCACGTTTTCACTTGCGAAATGCTGACGGGCGTCTACTGGTATGGCGTCAACAGGGAGAACGTTACCATCAGGACTGTGTTGTGCGAACAGATGAAGCAAACAGAGGAAGCATTATGGTGTGGGGAGAGATCAGTTATCATCACAAAAACGCTCTGATAGTTTGTCGTGGCAGAGTGAATGCCCTTACTACCGTGACACCATTCTTCAGAACGTCGTTCCCTTCTTTAACCAACATCAAGATCTGCACACATTCCACCAGGACAATGCTAGAGCGACACACTGCACGTGTTGCAACACAGTTTCTGGCAAACAACAACATTCCTCTACTTCCATGGCCTGCATTGTCACCAGATTTGTCTCCCATTGAACACTTGCGGGATTACATCGGCCAATGCCTCTCACGTCGCCCACAGATCAACAACCTTGGGGAACTTGAGAATGCCTTGCAACAAGAGTGGAATGCATTGCCTCAAAACATTATTCAGATACTAATCAGAGGAGACATTGTACAGCTTGTGTTGCTGCTAACAGTGGTCATACACGTTACTGACTTTCCAATTTGACTCCATCTTTCTTTCATGGTCAGCTGAATTAAAACTTCACTTTTTTGCTGGATGTATTCTTGTTTCTTTTCTTTACCAATCATTGGACTACAAAAGTACGTAAAATTTACACCGATTGCTCATTTATGCTCTTGGAAATCCAAACTAATACAGGCAGTGCATTTTCGATGATGTTTAGTATATTTACCCCAGTGAAAACTATTAGGTCCTAAATTACATCTTTTTAATCTTTCTTAATATTTCCATTGTTTTATGTTGGTCGTTTTTGTAAACACTCATGAAAAAAGTCATATTGTTTGAGGAACCTAGATGTGGAGTAGAAGTGTGTCAATAAATCCTTCCCTATCACCAAAGCTCAGCCCATGAACACCAAGGGCAAGCTAACTGCAAGAATTGTCTCCCTTAGACCATGGACCTTGCCTAGCACCACTCTGTGTCTCCAGTCTCTATGCACACGTCCTCTTAGCCACTATCTGTGTCTCCAGTCTCTATGCACACGTCCTCTTGGCCACTATCTGTGTCTCCAGTCTCTATGCACACGTCCTCTTGGCCACTATCTGTGTCTCCAGTCTCTATGCACACGTCCTCTTGGCCACTATCTGTGTCTCCAGTCTCTATGCACACGTCCTCTTGGCCACTATCTGTGTCTCCAGTCTCTATGCACAGTCTCTATGCTGCGTCCTCTTGGCCACTATCTGTGTCTCCAGTCTCTATGCACACGTCCTCTTGGCCACTATCTGTGTCTCCAGTCTCTATGCACACGTCCTCTTGGCCACTATCTGTGTCTCCAGTCTCTATGCACACGTCCTCTTGGCCACTATCTGTGTCTCCAGTCTCTATGCACACGTCCTCTTGGCCACTATCTATCTCCAGTGTCTATCCAGTCCTCTCTATCTGTGCAGTCTCTATCCTCTTGGCCACTATCTGTGTCTCCAGTCTCTATGCACCGTCCTCTTGGCCACTATCTGTGTCTCCAGTCTCTATGCACACGTCCTCTTGGCCACTATCTGTGTCTCCAGTCTCTATATGCACAGTCTCTATGCACCGTCCTCTTGGCCACTATCTGTGTCTCCAGTCTCTATGCACACGTCCTCTTGGCCACTATCTGTGTCTCCAGTCTCTATGCACACGTCCTCTTGGCCACTATCTGTGTCTGCCAGTCTCTATGCACACGTCCTCTTGGCCACTATCTGTGTCTCCAGTCTCTATGCACCGTCCTCTTGGCCACTATCTGTGTCTCCAGTCTCTATGCACACGTCCTCTTGGCACACACTATCTGTGTCTCCAGTCTCCTGCGTCCTCTTCTTGTCTCTATGCACACGTCCCTTGGCCACTATCTGTGTCTCCAGTCTCTATGCACATCGCGTCCTCTTGGCCACTATCTGTGTCTCCAGTCTCTATGCACACGTCCTCTTGGCCACTATCTGTGTCTCCAGTCTCTATGCACACTTGGCCCTCTTGGCCAGTCTCTATCTGTGTCTGTGTCCAGTCTCTATGCACCGTCCTCTTGGCCACTATCTGTGTCTCCAGTCTCTATGCACACGTCCTCTTGGCCACTATCTGTGTCTCCAGTCTCTATGCACACGTCCTCTTGGCCACTATCTGTGTCTCCAGTCTCTATGCACACGTCCTCTTGGCCACTATCTGTGTCTCCAGTCTCTATGCACACGTCCTCTTGGCCACTATCTCTCCATAATCAGCATATCAAGGAAGTCCACAATGCTAGTATTTAACAGGATCAAAACCATTGACATTTTTCGGAAACATTCAATTGGTGTCAATAATGCATTAACTGTTTCATTTACATTCCTGGCACTATCATCATAGTCATTTCTTAGTTCTCTTGTACCTGCACACAAAGAATATCACTTTGTGTTTCCCCCATTTTCTTCATTACATTGATAAACATACACCACACACAGAGTCCATTAAACATTTATGTTTCATATGAATTAACTCCATTAACAGTTTGTACAAAATGCCATGATAAATGTTTTAAAAACTAACCTATGAAAATTTAATAATTGAATATACAGTGGCTTAACCTCAATATGTTCATTAATAATTTTATCTCGGTGAAAGAGAGTCAAGCACCATTCACAACTCACGCTTAATTTAAACACTATAAAGATATACTTTTCTCATCACAACGTCTGTATGTACGTTCCATCCCAATCACTGCAAGGTGATGCACGTTGATACGTACCTGGAAGGAGCTGGTCTGTTTCATCAGGTAGCCCTCTTTGGTGCAGGTCTGCAAACAGAGAGAGAAACAGTTACCGTGGGAACAACCCATCTTCTATGATCAGGGGCATAATACCTCCATCTGCATTCAGATATATACCCTGGAAACAGTCATACCGCATTCTGACTGACCTTAATCACATATGCTGTATCTGGGTACAGGTATAGTGGTACAGTCAGGGTACAGGTGTAGTGGTGGTACAGTCAGGGTACAGGTGTAGTGGTACAGTCAGGGTACAGGTGTAGTGGTACAGTCAGTACAGGTGTAGTGGTACAGTCAGGGTACAGGTGTAGTGGTACAGTCAGGGTACAGGTGTAGTGGTGGTACAGTCAGGGTACAGGTGTAGTGGTACAGTCAGGGTACAGGTGTAGTGGTGGTACAGTCAGGGTACAGGTGTAGTGGTACAGTCAGGGTACAGGTGTAGTGGTGGTACAGTCAGGGTACAGGTGTAGTGGTACAGTCAGGGTACAGGTGTAGTGGTACAGTCAGGGTACAGGTGTAGTGGTGGTACAGTCAGGGTACAGGTGTAGTGGTGGTACAGTCAGGGTACAGGTGTAGTGGTACAGTCAGGGTACAGGTGTAGTGGTACAGTCAGGGTACAGGTGTAGTGGTACAGTCAGGGTACAGGTGTAGTGGTACAGTCAGGGTACAGGTGTAGTGGGTACAGTCAGGGTACAGTGTAGTAGTGGTACAGTCAGGGTACAAGTGGAGTGGTACAGGGTACAGTCAGGGTACAGGTGTAGTGGTGGTACAGTCAGGGTACAGGTGTAGTGGTACAGTCAGGGTACAGGTGTACAAGTGGAATGGTACAGTCAGGGTACAGGTGTAGTGGTACAGTCAGTACAGGTGTAGTGGTAGTACAGTCAGTACAGGTGTAGTGGTGGTACAGTCAGGGGTACAGGTGTAGTGGTACAGTCAGGGTACAGGTGTAGTGGTACAGTCAGGGTACAGGTGTAGTGGTACAGTCAGGGGTACAGGTGTAGTGGGTACAGTCAGGGTACAGGTGTACAGGTGGTGGTGGTACAGTCAGGGTACAGGTGTAGTGGTGGTACAGTCAGGGTACAGGTGTAGTGGTACAGTCAGGGTACAGGTGGGTGGTGGTACAGTCAGGGTACAGGTGTAGTGGTACAGTCAGGGTACAGGTGTAGTGGTACAGTCAGGGTACAGGTGTAGTGGTGGTACAGTCAGGGTACAGGTGTAGTGGTGGTACAGTCAGGTACAGTCAGGGTACAGGTGTAGTGGGTACAGTCAGGGTACAGGTGTAGTGGTACAGTCAGGGTACAGTCAGGGGTACAGGTGTAGTGGTACAGTCAGGGTACAGGTGTAGTGGTACAGTCAGGGTACAGGTGTAGTGGTACAGTCAGGGTACAGGTGTAGTGGTACAGTCAGGGTACAGGTGTAGTGGTACAGTCAGGGTACAGGTGTAGTGGTACAGTCAGGGTACAGGTGTAGTGGTACAGTCAGGGTACAGGTGTAGTGGTACAGTCAGGGTACAGGTGTAGTGGTGGTACAGTCAGGGTACAGGTGTAGTGGTACAGTCAGGGTACAGGTGTAGTGGTGGTACAGTCAGGGTACAGGTGTAGTGGTGTACAGTCAGGGTACAGGTGTAGTGGTACAGTCAGGGTACAGGTGTAGTGGTACAGTCAGGGTACAGGTGTAGTGGTACAGTCAGGGTACAGGTGTAGTGGTACAGTCAGGGTACAGTGTAGTGGTACAGTCAGGGTACAGGTGTAGTGGTACAGTCAGGGTACAGGTGTAGTGGTACAGTCAGGGTACAGGTGTAGTGGTACAGTCAGTACAGGTGTAGTGGTAGTACAGTCAGGGTACAGGTGTAGTGGTACAGTCAGGGTACAGGTGTAGTGGTACACAGTCAGGGTACAAGTGGAATGGTACAGTCAGGGTACAGATGTAGTGGTACAGACAGGGTACAGGTGTAGTGGTACAGTCAGGGTACAAGTGGAATGGTACAGTCAGGGTACAGGTGTAGTGGTGGTACAGTCAGGGTACAGGTGTAGTGGTACAGTCAGGGTACAGGTGTAGTGGTGGTACAGGTGTAGTGGTACAGATCAGGTACATGTGTAGCGGTAGTTGTACAGTCGGTACAGGTGCAGTGGTGGTGGTACAGTCAGGGTACAGGTGTAGTGGTACAGACAAGGTACAGGTGTAGTGGTGCTGGTACAGACAGGGTACAGGTGTAGTGGTACAGTCAGGATACAGGTACAGGTGTAGTTGCAGTACAGTCAGGATACAGGCATGGTGGTACAGTCCGAGTGCAGGTACATCCTTGGCTCCCTGGCTACAAGGCTCTAATAATTAGTGTTATCTTGAGTCAACCTTAGACGAGCCTGATTGCCTCATTCATCTCCCTTGTGCTTCCTGCTAGATGACAACATTGTCTCACTGTTTACTGCATAGTCCCATGGTTATATTTGTCTCATGGTGTTGGATTGCCAAACAATGACACAGGTCGGATCTTAAAAATACAATAATGATGCACAGTTTGGGAGTGTAGCAGGGATTGAATGGGGGTGGTTTGAGGGTTGAATCAGGGTTGAATGGGGGCGGTTTAAGGGTTGAATCAGGGTTGAATGGGGGCGGTTTAAGGGTTGACCTAGGATTCAATGGGGGTTGAATCGGGGTTGAATGGGGGCGGTTTGAGGTTGAATCATGGTTGAATGGGGACGGTATGATGGTTGAATGGAGGCGGTTTGAGGGTTGAATCTGGGTTGAATGGAGGCGGTTTGGGGGTTGAATGGGGGCAGAATAGTGGGTGATGTGGGAAAGAGTGGAATGGCAATGTAGGAGTGATGAACTTAATTGATTGCACCAAGGCTGTGCGTATGGAATAGGTATGGAGTGACTGGGATGTGTACAGTATCGACTGGATAGGAGGAACTCAGTTGGGTGAGGGTTTAATTAAATGTGACTTAGGAGGTGATGTGGAGCTGACTTTGGGCCTTAATGGTGTGTGTATGAGAGGTGTGGAAAGAGAGTGGAAATGGAGTGGAAAGAGGGTGGAACTGGAGTGAACTAGAAGTGGAATGGGTGTTTTGGGGCTGTATTGTAGGAAAAGATGTGATGAAATATTTCTCTGCGAGGACTTGACGTGGAGTTTACAGCTAGACTGGTTGGATTGGATTGACGCATACCATAACCTAAAAAAATATTCTAACATAAAAAAATGCCCTGCTTAAACACAAGGACAAAGAAGCACACCTACCCTATATGCATACAAGACTACAACAGTATCAGAATCTATCAATCCCATGACCAGCACCCATTAAGTGACGCCATGATACCTACCAAACCTCGACACAGGATTATGTTCATAATCACCGTCAAACATTCAGGACAAACTAGCGGCCCTGTTTCAGAAGTCCTCCTATGACTAACACACCTTATCATTCAATGTGAGCCTACGTGATCCCTAATCTCAAGCCTGAACAAAACTTACAGTGACGACCATCTACCTGATCACATTTCCCCCCTGACAGATCTAGCCATCCAATAAAGCCCTCATTAATGAGGTGTCAGATAATCAGCTCTATGTTAATGCACTTCAACATCAGAGTCAATATATAAGGTCTGTCAACCACACAAACCATACTTACAAATCCCAGCAAATCCATTAGTCAGTATTTGTACATAACACCGGTTGATATAATCTAGTTTCATTATAACAACGCGACTGGTATACCTATCCTCCTTCAAGTTTCCAAAAATATATTGCGCGTCGCAAATCATGAATAATCACACAAGATTAATGTGTGTCTTATAAATAAGTAATCATGATTATATAGTTAACCTATTATAAGTTCAGCGTTTTTGTCAACCTCCTCATTATAAAGAGAACTGAAGGGTGACAGTTCTCCTGGAAGTGAAGGTAAGCCATGAATGAAGATTTGACAGTTTCACAACCGACAAAAATACTTGATGGCATTATCCGAGAGTTTCCACGAGTGCTTCCTAGTTGCACCAAATACTTCTGAGTTGTTTAGTTAATGACACAGCAACCTTATAATTCTTAACAATAAAGCTGTCACTCTTTTTCATATTTTCAGGTTATTAATGAATTAAAAATCAATTGTTTCTCAAACTGTAAACTATAGTGATCGAAGATATGAGAAAAACAAACATTTATTCTGACACACTGCTCGTCACCATATTTCGTGGACATCTGGACAGAGGTCAGTCAAGGTTACTACTACTACTACTACTACTACTACTACTGCTGCTGCTGCTGCTGCTGCTGAACTAAAACTTCTACTACTACCACCACTACCACTACTGCACATGAAATCATCAAGATATCATTCATTCCTGTTCCTATGGTTTTGAACTTTTCATCACATTACAGATGAACACACCCTGATATTTCCAACACAATTTGATGATTCAGCCATGTCCAGGAGATGTCAGCTTCAAATTCATGTGATTAGTCACAAGCTAACGTGGAAACCAGCCATTACTTCTCCTGTGACAACAAACAGGACAGGCACTTGGCTAAAAGCCACCATCACTTTTTTCCCCTGTTTCCCCAAAATGATGAGACATGAGGATACTATGGCCTTTTTTATCATAATATCATATTGAAGTGATTGGTTGGTGGGATGGATGGTGGAGTGGGTGGTTGGGTTGGCTGGTTTTGGAGTGAGTGAGTGAGTGAGTGAGTGAGTGAGTGAGTGAGTGAGTGAGTGAGTGAGTGAGTGAGTGAGTGAGTGAGTGAGTGAGTGAGTGAGTGAGTGAGTGAGTGAGTGAGTGAGTGAGTGAGTGAGTGAGTGAGTATATGGTTTTACGCTGCTTTCAACAATATTCCAGCAATATCACGACGGGAGACACCAGAAATGGGCTTCACACATTGAATGGATGGATGGATGGATGGACGGATGGAAGGATTTATGTCGGCCTGGGCTGGGCTGGGCTGGGCTGGGCTGGGCTGGGCTGGGTGAGGTGAAATGGGGCTAACATCATACTTAAGAATATTTCGCTCATATGACGATGTGCATGAT